AATAATTTTTTTGGTGATTAAGATATTGAAATACAAAAAACTCATTTAAACTTTATTCTCACATCATGGTCGATATTTTTTATTTATTTCCGATTGTTTAAAAAAAATCAAAAAGAAAATGGACTTAATTCGGGTTTATGATGAAAAATCCTAACTATGGTTGCACATGTATTGTAAAAATAGTTAAAACACCCTTTTTTAAATTAAAAACATACCCAACAAATATAAATTATTCATTCCATTACATCTTTTTTAAAATGTAAACAAATTTAAAAATAAGTTTACAAACATTCTGTGTTAATCATTTTAACAATATTTTAAAAACTAAAATATAGTAATACATAAAACTCTTATAAACGTATTGACTTGGGATAATTTATGTTATCCCATGTCAATTTAAACATATTGACTTATTAATAATTTGTGTTCATTAATTTATTTGTAAAGCTTGTTTACGATTAATTCTAATTTTTTATTGTTTTTTATATTAAAATGCACTTTTGGGATCAATTACGTGTTTTTTAGAGATAAATACCAGTTGTTTCAAATTTTATTTAATTTTTTTTATGTTTAAAAATTCTTCAAGTAAAAAATATTTTTTGAAAATTGTTTTTAAACAAATAAGTAATTACACAATAGTTGTATTAATTGATAAAGCCGTATGTTCGATGGGAAACAATTTTTACTTATTGATCTAACACTAGATGGTATTTTCACCCTGCTTAGATTATGGCATCCATAAATATGTTTTTACCAAATGATGTAACACCAAGTTGTATAATAATGCTGCTTAAACTCTTGCATTGATCGAAACATTAATCACTAATTGATTTTACACTTAATGGTATTATAACACTACTTTGACTAATACATCTACTGAAACAATTATTATTAATTGACTTCACACTCGATAATATTATAATAGTGCTTAGACTACTACATTCTTTGAAACAATATTCAATTGATGGCACATATGGTGGTATTGTAACACTTATTGAAACAAAAATAACCAGTACATTTCACAATTGAAGGTATTATAATATTTTTTAAAATTTTTAATATCCACTGAAACAATAATTACTGATTAATGTCACATTCAAAGATATTGTAACACTGCTAAAACCAATATAATTATAAAAACAATACTCAACAATTGATAACACACTCGATGGTATGTTATAACCAAATTTCTTTCTATCATTTTGAGTGTAAGTTACATTTTTAAACTTATTGTTTCGGCTTCTGTTTTTATAAACAATTTCAAAATCAACATTGAACCACACAATAATACAAAAGAAATTTATTTTTGAACAATCTTTATGTTTTTTTGTTGATATATTTATGTTCTTTTATGTTGATCAAAAAAAAGAAGAAAAATTTTGGCAATACAATAAATGTATTGCCAAAATTTTCGTTTGTAACATTCCACAAGTGAAGTGTTTCAATATTTGGGTAGTATCTCATTGTTTTGAAATTCAACGGATATTAGTTGAAGTGGAACTTATCCATATTACGACTAAACTTATCGCACACCAATTCCAAGTTAATAAATTCTTTAATTTTTTTAAGTGCCATGAGAATATCATGACATGATAACAGGAAATGTAAGATTTTTTATTATTTTCAGTTTCTGTTGTTTAAATAATTCTAAATTAATTGTAATTTTGTTTAATTTGATCGTTTCAATAATAATTTATTAATGTTATAAAGTATTATTAATGTATTTAAAAATTAATCAAATAAAAAAATTAAATTAAAATTATTATATTTAACTCGCCAACAACCCAATACTGTTCTTTTTAACAGTTTTTTAAAAATTTGTCCCAAAACTGTTTAAATAATTTTGAAATATTATCAAGTGATTTAACTGAAAAAAATAGATAAAAACAAATGATTTTCAATTATCATAATTGGATTATTTTTATTTTTTATACCAAAAAATCCTTTTGTGCATTTATTTTTTTTATATAAAAATTTATAAGCAAAACAGAACAAAAATTACAACCAAAATAATAAAGAGTTGGTGGGAAAA